TGCCACCCCAGTAGATCCGCCTATGGTCATCATTCCTCACCATGGCCGGTTCTATTATGGCCCCTATACTGAAGACATAATATTTAAAAGAAATTCTAATAGTGATATGCGCTGGAACAGACATGATTACTGATAGGTCATTTGGATCTATTTCATTCTTTTTATTACAAATTCTGTTTTACTAATTATTCAAAAACAAAAAGGTAATAGTTTCAGTGGTATTGAGATAGGATCCCAGTTTTCATGTGTTAAATGTTTTTTTTCACAACAAAAAAAATAAAATGCTCTAATTTTTACAGATGAATTTAACAGTTTTCCTTAAGTTCTAATTCAAATTTATAGAAAACTGCAGTTTTAACTTAAATTAAGTCAAAAAATATTTAAAATTCCTAAATTATAAATGTATATTGACCTCATAATAAATAGAAGTTTTATTGAACCTAATTGAAAATAAATTTCCCTTAATGCAGCTCTCTTAAAATATTTGAATCTCTTGCCCTGTTTTTTATTTCATGCTTTTCTGGGCCCCCATGAAAACACACTGGCCCCCTCATGGCCCCCTGGTCCATTTGGTCTAGATCCGCCACTGTTCCTCCCCTTCACTAGACGTGGATATATTTTAGTATATTCTGCTGTAAAATTAGTCCTATATTTTCATTTTTTACTCGAGGATTGAACCTCTGCCGTTTCCCAGGATGCACAGCTTTGAGTGGTAACTAGGTGACTGCCAGAAAATAAACCAGAGAAACTTATCGGACTGATCAGATCAGCTCTCTGACCAACCAGTCGCCTGGAACACTGGTTGAAAAGAGCATCACTTTACATCAGACACCGGAGCAGATGAAGGGCCTGCTGTTGGGAACATGTCAGTCAGTTTGACACATTTAGCAGCGTCTGTTTGAAGAACTTGTTTCTTTGTGTTTCTTATCCATCACTACTGTGAACACCGCTGCACAAAGTTCCAATGGAGAGTGAAGGTGTTTTTCTACTTTCTGATTGGCCTAGCCCTTTAGACTGTCAGGGATGATAACCAATGGGCTGCAGTAGCCTGTGGTAAGGGCCGGATGATCGGAACAGACTCTAGAGCTGCTGATTTTATTTTTCTTCATGCATTATGCAAATATAACGAGGCCGATATATAATATAATATTGTATATATTATAATATATTAAAAAAATATAATAATAATAATAATAATACATATTATTAATATACATGTTGGGTCTGCCGGCCCAAACAGCACGTCGGCCCACTGGGCAAATGCCCGGTACGCCCGATTACCAGTCCGTGCCTGGTTGTGAAATGATATCCATAGATGGCCTAAGACTACAGAGGAATACTTACTAGGAAACCAGATAAACAACATTTCCTCATGGTACCAGATGTAATGAGTCAGATATAAAAGGTGCAGTGGTAATGGTTTCTAATGACCGTCCATCCAAAGCCACCAACCTGAAAGCTTGCTGGAAATTATTCATGCCAAAGGAACATTGAGTTACACCCGACACTGACCCTAGTGCTACTGAAGGGCTAAATGGCTGGTTATACTCCCGCAGCAGTGAGTCGCAGTCAGCTTGTTGCAGGTATGACGCAGATATTTTTGAGTTATGCCCAATTTTGAGAAGTGGTCTGTGCTATGTTATTCCAAGCCACAAAGCAAGAGGTACACACAAGCAGACAACCTGGACCTGGTGCAGTTCCATCTGAAATTACATGAAGCACCACAACAAAGGCAAAGTCTGGATCTTAAGGATCTCGCTATTTCTTCAGGGGACATACCATAGGAGTGGTTATTTGTTTTGCCACTGACTGATCTCATGTCTGCACGCTTTTCTTCTGGACATTAACCCTGCTTCTTTTCCCTGGTTTCTGTCTCCAGCTAAAACCCCTGTATTGGACTTATTTCCCCGGCTCTGACTCTGTTTACGGTTAGTAAATCTCCCTCCGGATTATCATGAATCTTTGTGTGAATTTCTGGACAGATCTGGGTAAAAGTCCCCATCTGATTCGAGCTCTAATCATGGAATAAATTCACCACAACTTCTGTTCAAAATATAAGAGTTTATTAAAAAAAATCATTCAGCCTCAAGTCAAACATATTTCAGTTTAACACTCTCAACTAAGACTAGTAAAACTCAACTAAACTACTATGTACAAAGAGGAAGGGGAAACAGTTAAAAACCATATTACAGTTTAAGATGGATTTTGTGTTTGAAAACCAAAGTTTATCTGGAGGAATTTGGGATGTGATCTAATTAGCTTTTCACTAATTTAGAGAAATTGGAATGTTTTCAGACCAATTCACTGCATGTGGGTCCGAGCTTTAGATAAAATCATGACTTGTCCAAGCTTCAGCAACAGTTCAACACATATTCCAAAAGTTCTGTTTTGCAGCAGTTTGGTTCTGAAGGTTTCTGACCTATCCTTGATGGTTCTGGAGAACTGGTTCCCCTTGGGCCCGCATCTCCACCAGCCAAAGCGGACCCCAGGACCCCAAGAGAGAGGAGACAAAGAGCACAGGAGGCAAAGAGAGACAGAATATTGTGTGC